CAATATTTTTTTATTTATATTTATTGTGTGCATATTTCATTTTATAATTATATAGCTTTCCTGCTTTTTGGCAATATTTTTTACGCTATAACAACTTCAAATATCTGAAATATTCACTATGTTATCATGTCATATCAGTGGCCTAGGTGTGGCAACAGTGGCTGGTTCGAGTTTAGTCAGGTCGAATGAAATTTTTCTTAGTGTGGTTCGTAATATAATAATAGTAAAATCAAATTAGTAACAATTCAAATAATAATAATAAAGTACTTGTATCAATAATAATAACAAACTTCTGGAGCCATTTTTACAAAATCATTTCAATTCAGTAGTAAGAATAATGTACATTCAATCAAATAAATATTTATTATATCTTTGGTATGAAATCCGGTATAACATTGGACATGTCTGTAGTTCTGTGTCCTAGGGGTCTACCCTCGATCTCCGTCCGACATACGTCCGAAACAATTACTGTCAAATAAGTAATATTCGACAAAATTAAAAGACAAGTATCAAGTACGAAGCTTCATTCGCATCACGCGTCTTTTCATTTGGTCAGGTATTGCTTATTTGGCAGTAATTATTTCGGACGGATGTCGGACGGAGATCGAGAGTAGACCCCCTGGGTAGAAAATTTATACTCAACGATTAGATCTGAGAAAACATTGTTTATTTCCAATGTATACAGAACAAAAACAGAAACACTTTTGTTGAAAACTAGCTTTGTTATTTACATTAAGAATCCAGTAAGAAATTTAAGCAAAACCAATTATTTAAAGTGAAACCCACCTAGTTAGGTACCACTATGTACACATCTGTATTGCTGTGTTCGGTATTGTAGGGAAGACAGAGCAATTATAGGCACAGGAGACATGAGATCTTATGTTCCACGGTCCAGCATATCATTTACGATATTAGGAATTTAAATCTTTTCAAATGTTGGCAATATTCGTGAGCTAGACCTTCTAATTGTTTGTTGATTTGAAAACCATTAAACAAATTTGAATAAAAATTGAGTGACAATAATATAAGTTTAATAATTTTAAGCCATGGAATTGGTTAGTTTGATTTTTTTTTTAATGAATTTCACTAATTATTTATATATTTTTTGGGAAATAGCTCCACCATAGTTTGTTATAATTATTAATACCTACAAACATCGAAAACAAAGAAAAATACCTTCGATTCGACAGGACTACAACCTGCGACTACGCTGTATCATAACATAACTCGATCTGTAGTTCAAGTCTTATCGCGCAGGCCTCGAAGACTATAAGGTAACTAAACTCATTTGCAAAAAAAAAACGAGCACCTTTGATTTTTTCCATCTCTGATCTATTTACTATACGAAATAGGTTTTATTAATTTAAATATGTCACTGCCTTGGTAGTATCTCCAATTTTATAAAAACATTCGTTCCAAATTCAAATTTAAGACATAAAACCCCTCTACAAGAAAACTACTCGTCACTACACAAAACGGCGAAAATTGTTGAAAGTTCGTAATATGGACTCACTATTAGATAATTTTTGATGAGTTATTTCGTTTGATTGATGATTTTATGTTATTCTACCATTGTAAGATCCGCGAAAGCATACCCAGAAGAATACAAGCTGTGATTATGACAAGAGGAGGACACACTCATTACAACATTTTTACCATTATTCCGTTATACTATTAAAAAACTCTTTTAATTTTTATTTTACTTGATGAGTAGTATTCTATTGGCGGCTTAAACGTAGACGATATTCTCTTGTTGATTTTGTCGAAATTTATAGAAAAAAATTGCTGAATATATATTCATTCAGAAGATTCTGAGCATACTAGCTACTTAAATTATCAAATGAACTGCAGATGGCAGTGAAAGTAATAGCTTACTTTCTTAGGCGCCCGGTTTTTTTGCAAAAGAGTGTAAAATAAAGTTTGTTGGCAAGAGGTTTACTACCTAAAGTGTCCATTGTCCATATTTTCCTACATAATTTACCCACACAGTCTAAGATGATTGCACTAATAAATCGATAGAGCATCTCCAGCTTATCGCCTATCTTTATTGACATTACAATCAACCAATTAGAGAGTACACAAGTGCATTGTCGGTTGTAAATAGATAATGGTACGTAATTAATTGTTCGGAGATTAATTTAGACTTTGACTTGTGTATGTTATATAGACTGTTTAGAAATTGTATGCCGTTATTGTTTGTCGCTTCCTGTAGTAATTACAGAGGTCAACTGAAGTTTGGAAATTAAATATTTTCAATATTGGAAAGACTGATATTGAATTTTTTTCGGTACAATTATACAAATGGCAACATTGACAAAAGTTTGACTAGTAAATAAAAACAGTGGTGGGAACAGTTCCAACCCGGAGGATGTCTAGCTCATCCTATACTAACTCTTACCACGTATCGCTTACCACGCGAGAAATCGTGGTTCCGTTAAAAAGTATAATACTCTATGTAGGCAGCAATACGGCTCAATATTACATTAACAAATTTTAAATTCTCGTCTCGCCCATCCTCGTCACTTCAGACCATTTCCACCGAAGATGGGCTAGGAGAGAGTTGAAATTTTGTCAAAGCAATTTCAATCCTCGTCTCGCCTCGTCTCGCCTCGCCAGTGGGAAACCACCTTAAGTCTAGTGTTCTGAAAAAACGACTAACTGTCATGCCGCGCCACCCTTGTTTGCTATACGCATCTTACCGCAGTGCACTCCATCTAATCTAATGATAGTTTTGAAACTCCGTTCATAAAATAATATTCTTAAAATTAAATATAAAATTGGATGCCTGTTTTTTTTATTACAGAAAAAATAAACATTGTTCTCGTCTCACTTAAGAATAGTACATAATAATATGTCATATTCAGTCTTAAGTCTGTGTTGAATTTAATAACAAATTAATCAACGATTTTCTCGACAAATACAGTCACAAAAAAATCCCATTAAACTTTGATTCATTCTTTCAAACTTGAACTAGATATTACTCAAATAAATTAATTATTACTGTAAAATAATAAACAATGAATTTAGGAATTATTTGGGTATTTTTTGCTTGCTAATACGTCTAATATTCACTATTTCATAATTTTATAAACAAGTGTAGCCCGTCTTATTTATTTTTTAGTGCAATTTTTATTGCCGAAAGGTTTGCTGACCACTGGCCTAAAGGAACCTCTTCCAATTATACCAATCTTGTACGAAAATATGTTTTACTGGTGCTGGTATTTTCTTTGTTTATTGATAGAGCATAAATTAAGTCACATTGTTAATGAATGGAGATCGGAATAGGTAGATTATATTTCACTCATTTCAAGGAACGCAAAACACAGAGTATATTTAATTTTATTAGAATTGTTGTATTTTGTTCTATATTTTTTGAAGAGTAATCAGCAATTACGTAGTATTAGGGTAGTGTATTAGGAAAAAAGTTTTGTAATTGTAAGTAAAAATGTAACTGTTTTATTTTGAATTTTTTGCCTCTTAATTTTTAATCATTCATATCAGAGAGAGGTTCTAACTACTCTATAAGTATTACTTGAAGTTCAGATAAATTATTTAGTTTATTACGATGTCTGACTAATTAGGTATTTCCAAGGTGCATACCTTCAACCATTACTTAGGATAGTTTCTTTTTCTAAAGCCAGGAACACAATATGACTGAAAATGAATGTAACTATAAGAATAACAACAATTATATATAACTATTGGATATTCTTAACAGCTTTGATAAATGTAAATTCGTGACAACTAAAATATTTGTGTATTTTAGATTGAAACTGCTGAAAACATATTTTAGTTGTTACAACAATTACCCAAGAAGGCATCGACGCCAAAGAAACCATTTCAAATTTGTTTGATCATTTTGTTATCTTTAGGTTTTCAATTTCAGTTTGTTTATACGGGTAAAAAACTATTAACTATTCCAATAATTAAATGAAAATTTATATTAAATAGAAATAAGCCTCTTTTCGTTAATTAAAATATTTCTTGTGTAAAGCGCCTTTCATTAATTATTCTGAACGAAATTAGAAGAAAAATGATTATCTCCGTTAAACTAAGTTATTAATTTTCATCTCGTTCATTTCTTCTCAAGAAAATATTTCGGTTCTTGATATTTTATCAACAAAATATTCTTTAAGAGGGTAATTTGTAATACTTTGATGAAAATTCGTTCAAATAAAAGCAACATTAAGTATCAAAACGTCAGTATAATTTTATTACGATTTCAAGATATCTTTGTACATTTTATACAAAACAATAATTTTTATTATGATACAATCCAAAAATTACATTTATTTTTAAGTTAAATTATTATATCTAATATCACGATTTAGCTTAAATACATAATTTTATATAGGTACAGAAGCAATACATTTATTAATATCAGCCAATGAGGGGTAACACTGCAAACATAGTTTTCATTTATACATTGCAATATATATTAGCAAGCACATTTATTATTTCGTATTTTATGTTTTAAAAGTAAGTCAATGAAATGTATTGAAATAGGTTTATAGAAAGATTCCAATGTGAAATGTTACCTACGCAGTTACAGAATAGCTTTTTATAAAGTTGTCTCTTATGGAAAGAACGAAATTTATAAATAAAAATATTTGATAAGTTTCAAATTGTTTATAGAATATATTATGCCATTACGATGGATTCGTATAAACATACAAAACTTAAAAAATTGACTTGAAATATAAACTACATAAGCGTGCTTAAATACTTTCTTATATTAAATGTGTAATTAAATGTCTTAGAAATTCGAAATTATATTATTAATTTTGAAATTATGCCCTTAACCTATTGTGAATATGGAAATTACTTTATCTTACACTATTTGGTGTTGTTTTACAGTGACTGCTTTGTGATTTTTTCACAGCTTTTATATACTATGTTTATACATCTACTATTTTTTTTTATAATTTGAAAAATGTTCTTGTAATCAGACTCAACATTTCCATACGATATTTGTACAAAATATTGTTTCGTTAAAATATTATTCGTACTTAGGTCGTTCAACATGTCTTACATTACGTATGTGAAAATTGACAGTATCTTTAAGTACATAATATTTACAAATTTATTTATAACAAAGTACGGTACTAATACTGTGGATTATCTTAAATGTGCAAGCAATTAGTGCAGAAAATTAATGTTATTATCAAACAAATACGACGATGGAATACTAACAAGGACTAAACAAAGTATGTGCGTCCTTTCGTAGATACACTTCCGGCTATAGAACGAGGAACAGTGGGAGAAATATCATCTACCCTAGAATATACGTGACCACTGCTAGGGGACAGCCTCAGGTCATAATTAAATCGAGAACACGTTCTGTTGTCGATAGACATATAGCTATTGTTCGAATTGTTGCCTTCTCCGTATGTATTATTATCAGACGAAGGAGAGCTCTCAGTCTGTGACGATTCACCGTCGTTCCTTTTGCAATACTGCAAGGAATTCGTGAAATTCTGCTTTGAGCAACTATCATTCGATACCGGCATTGTTGTATATCTTAGCGTCGGTGTCTGTCGTAACGACTTCTTGAACACACTCTTTTCAGAACCTTTGACAGTTATAATAGTATCAGTTGAATTCAGCAAAGAAATAAATCTGTCCCAGAAACGAGGGTCGTGCCACGATATATTTTTGAACTTATCTAAGACAAAACAAAGTTCGTCGTTTATTTGGTTGTTGTCTAGTATTTTAATAAATATCACTTTGTTTATGTCGCTACGATTTAAAGATTTTAAGTAACTGTAAAACATGTTTTTGAAATGTATGTCGCAAAGGTCATTGCAAATAAAATTTGTCGTTAGAATAATCAGAAGGCGTTTCGATAATTTTGGTGATTTTGAAAAATTATCCAAAGTTAATATATTTAGCGAAGATTCATTAGTGGATATCTTTTTAGAGGACATCTTTCTAAATTCTATTTCAGACATTATATTTAGGTATACGAAGTTTGCATCTTTGGTATTGCATATCACGTAATAATCATACATGTGATTTGGATTTCCTTCCAGTACATGGTCAACATTAGGACAAGACTGTTCTTTGAACAGTGGGACACCGTATTTGGTGTAGAACCAGTCGCTGACTTCATACCGAAAAGCATAGAATATAGCACCTATAAGACAAACTACTACAATTATAATAATTACACCACAAATTACTGCAAAATAATTATCGGGAAGAAACATGGACTTCGAGACAATTTCATCTTTAGATACAGTTGGGTCACCTATTGACCCCATATACTCTTTACAATGGCTTAATACAGAAGCTATTGTTATTTTTGTAGGCTTTCCCACAGAATCTATACATAACATTTTTTCAGGATCGCCAGGATCTCTCCTTAACCATGAGTCTAACTCAGCTATACTTTTACAATCACAAGAATACTGGTTACCCTCGATAGACACATGAGCTAAACTTTTGGAAGACGATGCTAACAATTTCCAAGGGAAGAAGTTCACTAACTTATTATCATCAATTTTCAACACTGACAGCGACTTAAGTGATGAGAAAGTATTATTTGCAACTTGAACAATGGCATTATGGTCCAAATACAACTCATTTAAATTATTAAGATGTACGAATTCGTCCCCTTTTAACTCGACTAATTTATTGTTCTCTAAATGCAAAACTCTCAATGATGGGACGCCTTTAAAAGTTTCGTTATTGACTTCTTTCAACTTTGTATTGTTCAAGTACAGCACTTGAAGTTTTTTCTTTCCAATAAACACGTGATTTCCTAGATGACTGATGTGATTTCCATCTAAATATATTTCTGTGGCGTCCATCGGAATTCGTTCTGGAACTTCTGTATAGCCCGCGTTAGAACAATCTACCACATTCGCATTCCAAGTGATGTCGTGATAGCATCTACAGTTATTCGGACAAATCATTTCGCAGTCGCATGCGACGTAGTCACAACAATGACATAGAGCAAAACAATGACTCTCGTACGGACATAGAAAGTCAGACGGTGACATGTCTATTATCATCTTTTTCTGTTTAGCACGCGAGTGAACTAGAGCGCACGTCGCTTTATCTAAATCTAACACACGTGGGTATTGTCGACTGTGGCTTAAATAATTAATGCGTTGAATCCACTCCATTGAACAGTCGCAAACAAATGGGTTTCCGCTTATAAAGAACTCGGGCAAGTCTGTATTTTCATCTATTTGATCTAACCTGAAAGCATTCATGTCAAGCTGAACCAGTTTGTTATTATTTAACGTCACCGTTGATAGTCTTTTCAGCTTAGAAAACGTACCAACTTGAATTTGTTTTATATTATTGTCGTTCAAATAAAGCTTTTCAACAGAATTCGGTATTGAACTTACGGTAAGTTGAGTTACATTGTTATAGCTCAAGTCTAGCATTTTAATGTTAACATGTGAGTACATATTGTCATTAATAAAGTTTTCTATATGATTTTGATGTAAATCAAGCCATTCCAAACTACTGGGAAAACTTCTGAAATCAAACGCTTTGATTTTGTTTGCCGACATGTTGAGCCACACTAGAGTATTTAGAGTGCTAAATATTCCATCAAAGTTTGTGATTTCGTTTCCATCCATTCGCAATAGTTTTAGATTGATATTTACTCGAAAACAACCCTTTGCGACATGTTTTATCTTGTTTGATCCTAAATTAAGCACTTGCAATTGAGGCAAATGCTCAAAAGTGTCCTCATTCAAATATGTAACTTTGTTATCAACAAGACGTAAACCGTAAAGTTCGGACAAACCACGAAAGTTTTCTCGATTTAAATGGGTTATATTGTTATTGCCGATGTCCAATGATTTCAGAGACCGTAATTTACGAATAGAACCTGGTATCGATGATAAAAAATTATCACTCAAACCTAAATCTTCAATTGTAGTCATATTATCAAATGCGTTATCATCTGTGTGTTTTATCTTATTATTATCAATAAACAGTTCATGTAACACGTGCAAATCTGTAAACAGGTGAGGATGAATATGCGCTAGTTTGTTGTTTGAAAGTGTAAGCGAATGTAAATTTCTTAACTCCACAAAAGCGTGCTCCTCAATCGAAGTTATATCATTGTGCTCCAAATTTAATTTCTGTAGGCTATTCAAATCTTTAAACGTGTAACGGTCTACCTTAGATAACCTATTGTTAGAAAGATTCAAAATTACCATACGTAGTAACCCTACAAATGTACCCTTATTTATCCACTGACTAGTAAGTTCATTCTGAGAAAGATCTAACACTTGCAGCTGGTTTAATCCACGAAATAGTCCAGGATGTAAAACATTAAGAGTGTTGTTACTTAGGTCAATAACTTGCAGCGATGTGGTATCGGAAAACAAATCAGGCGGAACAGAATTCATAAAATTACTAGATAAATTCAAAACCTGTAGGCTGAGCAGCCCCCCAAAGGCACCGTCCTCCAGAGTAGAGATAGCATTGTTTTGTAACAATAATTTTGTCAAGGATCGTAACTTTGACAAACTGTAGTCGGTTACAACAATCAAGTCGTTATATGATAAATCTAGTATCTCTATTACTAAATTACAACTTTTCACGCTCAAGTTTTGCTCTCTTAATGAATCAGCAAAACCAATTGTCTTTAAATTTTGCAAGTGATTCTTAGTTAAATTTAACGTCTTTAAGCTATACAATGAACAAAACGTATCCGTTTTAGTGCTCCAAATGTTGTTGTCACTTAAATCGAGTTCAATTAGCTCATTCAATCCGGCAAAGGCTTGTTCATTTATTTCCATTGTCATGGCGGACCACTCGCTGTTCCGGGTCGTCACATGCAAACGTTTCAGGTCTTTGAAATTCTCGAAAGCATGTGCCGGTACCTGACGTATCTTGCACTTATCAATGACGAGATCTCGAAGCTTTGCTAGATTCGCGTGCTTGCCTGATGTTTTCTCCGTTTGAGCAGTGAGTGTACTTTCGAAGAATAAAATCTCACTGCACTGTACGTGCAATGAAATTACGTCGTCGAAATGCGCTTCGCTGATGTTCTGTAACAGGTGGTCCAAACTGCTTATCGTTCGGATTTTGCAGAAAAGTACAGCATTTTCCGACGCTTCCGTCTCGGGGCTGCGATAAGCGCAGTCGTGCGGCATTTCGGCCGCGGTACTCCTTTCGACAACATGGCAATAGAATAACACGCACACGTACACTATAATTTGATTAAAAGTTCGGCGATCGAGTCTTTTCGCGACAGTTTGTATTATTGGCATTTTACGTTTGTATACGGTTTGCGTAGATGCATTGACATTGGCTTTGCCATTTAAAAGGATGCGACGGAGTACGCGTCATAAATGTTCGCGCGTTCGCATCGACATCGCGAGTCGCGTGGCATGACGGCGGGTGTCACGTTGACGGCCTCCGTGTGGCGCGGACGGCGGCTGCCCACCGACTGAGCGGTGCTCGGTGGCTCCGCCCCACGACGTCCGCGACGCCCCGCACCGCGCCCGCCCCGGCGTCTAAAGAAACTTCATCTCATATTATCGAGGGTGCATAAGCCGTTGAATTATTCCCGTGCGGGTGTATCAAGCGTTAATTATAAACAAACTCAAGATCGAGTTTCGCAAAGTACAGAGTCTCATGACCTATTTTTGTTAGAAGTTATAAAGAGTTTTTTACTTATTAATCTCACAAGCTCTACTTCTCAACTCATCGGACTCAGTGACGGCATGGCATAAAATAAAGCAGTCAACTAAGCAAACACTTTTTATGTATCCGTATCGGTTGTTTTCTATACAAAAGTACCAAATAAATAAAAATTACAAAAACCACAGAATTATCTCATGACAGCAAAACAAATTAAGAAAGTGTTTTGTAAATACCAGTTTTTTGTATTTTAGTACCTATTGACGAAGCCGATCTGTCGGTTATAAATTTGACTATTTCACCTGTAATTTATTAACCTATGAAATGAATAATTAAGAAAATTACACATAACACAAAACAAGCTTGAAAATGTACGCTCAAATCAAGGTAGACTTAATTTTCTTGCTAAGCGTTAACCAACGTTACGTCTCCGTCTTCATGGTCATTATAAATAAGGTTTGATACTGACTTACTTTGAAAAGATTACTGAATAAAAATAAATTTCAAACCAGCCCGTACAAAACTTTAAGAAACGAAATGGTTATAAACGCGCTTAAAAAATAAGAAGAGACCGCTAGAGCAAAGTTTCGTAATGTTAAAAATTTCACCACAGCACTCTAGTGAAAAACACTTTGTCCATTGAATATGGAGGTGCCTTTTTTGTAAACAATACTCTTTAAAAAAGCTGCTAATACCATCACATCACGAACACCTGTTGTGTTAAACAACTTCGCTAAACTTTTTACTTCGGATCGTTCTGGTGAAAATGAGATAAAAGCCTTACAAAATAGTTCGCTGGGACACCACATGTTTCCGAACTTCCCTTCTTATATATTATGTTCCAAAAGTAACTAAACGGCAGATGGAATTCTTTCGGTTCTTTCGAAGAATTTTTCTATTAAATATAACATATGTGGCAAACATAAGGTTTTAAGGTATAATGCGTTAACCCGTTCTTGGACAGTAACAGTGTTTACCGTAAAATGAAATATTACAGTATGATAGTACGCCCCGTTTCGCTGTATGGATCTCAAAAAACTAACTACGGACTTTACAGTGCTATTTCCAAGTGCTTTCTGTGCAAGTAGTTGCTGCCTATTGCTTCTCTATAGAGAAGGAACAACAACTTGCTGACAAAATTTAACGATTGACATACATTGAACACTTACTTTCGATGCTGGAAAGGCAAAACGTCTAACGTGCATTTGGAAAATATTACAGGAGAGCGATTAAAAACGTTTTAAAAAAGTTTAAATCGCAACTCTAATTTAATTTTTTATATTGGAAAACTAGAAAGTTTCAGCTTTTTACATATAACAAATAAAATTAGGTTTACCTTTCCAGTGTCGACTTTATATTTAGTATATAAGCACTAAAGCAAGAAAATGCTGACATTTTTATGTGCGGTATTATGTAAGAACTGACCATGAAAGGGTTAAAAGGTATAAACCTATGGGTTTGACGACAAGATAACATCGTCGGAGACTGAGACTAGCTCATGATCGTGGTTCATGCACAAACTAAGGAAATTTGTACACACTTTTACACAATTTGTACTGGAAATGCAACTGTTCCATTTTTTTTTTCGGATCTACTTTCGGCTGAAATAAATTTAATTCAAACCTTTATTGCACTATTTATAATGCTACATAGGATGGAATAGGCTGAAAGCTAAGTTAACTGCACATTACGGATCCTGTAGAGCACTATAAATTATATTTGGAGTAGGTTTTACTACTAACAAAATTTAGAAATGTTGCTTTGTCTTATTTTTCATTAGTTCGTCTTTGTACAATTGCAAATTAAGGACAGCATTGTTTTCTTTATGACACCAAGTGACGGGTCGAACAAGTTGCGTGTCTGGTGGTAAATGACACACTTATCCATAACAGTTGCACTGCCACTCAGAGCTTTAAATCGTAAAGATCTGCGGGGCCATTCCTCTGCGCTCATCACCCTGAGACATGTCCCATGTCCCTGTAATTTCATCAGCACCTTTATTCTTCAAAACGGAAACGCAATAATGCCCACATTAACTCTTGGCGACAGAAATAGATAAGGTAAACATCTCTGGACGAACTCTTTCATACGCAGCTCTGCTGTTACTGATAATAAAGCTAATGACGTAACTAAGTCGTAGTATGGCCGTCGTAATTTACTCAGCATTCAAAAAGTAACGTACTCGTTTTTTTTTAATAACGCACACACTCAACATAGCCCCGTACTAGGGAAACCCTGTGTCGCGGGTGCCATGGACACATACATAGACAACCACAAATTACACCCAAACTCACGAGAGAAACAAATGTAGGCCATACAACTATTTCTCCCGGCCCGGGAATTGAACCCGGGACCCCTGCGCGTCAGTTCGGCATGGCAACCGTTCGGCCACAGAGGCAGTTAAATTTCTATATCTATTAATTAACTATCTATTACTCATATGTTCTCTTTTTCATTCTTAACTATGTACATAATAACATATTATTTGTTGGTAGAACGAGATTGACACGAGCCTCAACTCATGATGTGAAGTGCTAAACCGAATTCATATCGCCCTAAAAATATCTGCTCAATGTCAAAACCACTAAGACAGAGATAACGAGTGTTAAAAACGTTCATTCATAAATATTCATCTGTTAAATAAAGCTTTTTTGAAATCCCACCCTAGTTAAATTAGTGAAACTAGAAAATAAAGATTTTTATCACAAAGAAAAAAGTTTACTTCCACATTCAAAACGCCATTACCCGAGTTTTCGAACGAATAAGTCAAGGGCACTACATTTTTTTATTGAGACGTGAAACCGGAAATTTCTCGTCATTATTTCAACAACCTTCACTATTTACAAAAGCTATAAATAATTCAATACCGTAAAATGCACCCACAATATAATTCAAAAGCTAACATACATAATTATACCCTGCTTAGTCTTGAAGAGCATACCAAGTCGATGTAGTTCCTAGAGCTCATTTGTGTGACTCAGGAACTGATTCGAAGAAATAATTTAATGGAATCAAACAATGAATCAACCCAGCAAAAAACTAAAAAATATACTTCCGGTAATTAACTCTCGTTAGATGACCAAAAATCGTCTTGCTACTACCATTATTGTTTTGACAAAAACTTATTCTGTAATGTAACTTCGTGTCACTGCTCTAATAAAATACTGTGAATTTCCTGTACAGTATGGACCAATGTACGGACAAGTGATTCTTCTAAACATCTGACTAAGACTGTTCTTCGGACTGAGGCAGACTCATCTTCAGGATCATTAAATTTTTAGTAGACACTTCACAGGTCTTTAAAAACTTTTTCATTTACGACATTTTTTCAACCTATTGATTTAATTCAACTGATCCAATCACTTTTTTCAAACTCTAAACTTCCTCTACTTGTTAAGCCTAGCCTATGGGAAGAGTTTTATGTAATGATCGGGCAGTCGGTAATTGAGCTATGTAGATGTGGGTATGCACAGGCAAGTACAAAGCAATTTGTAGCTCGTGATAGCGCCTGATCGGTGGACCACCCACTATAGGAGTGTATTAAGGTGATGCTTAGATTGTTTTCGTTGATTTAGTAAAGAAAGGAGAATCGACATTTGTACAAAAAAACTGAATGTAGAGACGCAAAGATAAAAGTTAAGAATTTAATAGGAATGATGTATCCGCTTGACTGTCATGAACAACATGCGTTAAGTAATATTGAGGAGTAAGAGTGCGTATATTCGATAATTATTAAATTAATTACCCTTTACATTTAGATTCTTTTTCGAGAAAGAAAATTGCGACTGTATTTACTCATTTACATATTTTGTTTTACGCGAAGTTTATCTTGAGTAGAGTTTAGCCTGAACGTAGACAATAACCTGTACTAAAGAATGATATAGAACCGGAAGCGCCTGTGTGTGAAAATCGAATATAATTTTAAAAACGCTCATTGAATATAATTTTCACTTGGACTAAATACACTTTCTATGACTTAATTGCTTATAATTATTATTTGTAATAATATTCGAATTTTATAAGAACATTTTATATGAAGCTCTTTTTATGTAACAATCATTTTATATATTGTCAGTTCAGACAATTTTTAAGAGGTATTTATTTACCTGTACCGTAATGTACGTCCCTCTTTTAGTAGGCTAAGTTAGTAAAAGAAAAAGTAGCACAAGTGAGCATGCCACGGCAGCGGCCGGCGAATACCAGAACCAAATTGTTTGCGTCTCAAAACATGTTTTAAACATTAAAATCTATTATAGTTTGTAAACTGAGGCTAATAACTTATAATTGGTATTTAAAATTACTGTAAGGGTTAATGATAAAGGAAATTATGGAATGTAAGTTTATAATAAACATTCGATATATTAAGTGAATTTAATATGATAAAGTTTATATAATTTTTTTTCTGTCATGCCAAGTGATAGGACGGACAAGTCGTGCGTATAGTGGTAAGCGACACGCCTATCTATAACAGTTGCAGTGCCATTCAGAACTTTAAATCGCAAATATTTTATGGGCACTGCCACTGCGCCCATCACCCTGAGACAAAAGTTGACAAGTCCCATGTGCCTGTAATTTCACCATAAAATTATACTAAATGAGCGTCAGGGTAAAAACATTTTATAGTACATTACACACTCTATGTAACCAGACCTAAGATCTACTCTGTATTAAGTGGAATTTCAAAATATATTTTTTTTAATATTCCAGTGTCGTATTGTGACGTTACCTTTATGCGTTCCGCCCAAGACGTAACATTCAAATGGGTTTCCGTTGCATTCATTTACATTTTATGT